CACAGTACAATGAGTACGAAAACGGGATAATATGCAGTACGTCGCATGCTGTTAGGGTACTTACATTGTATATTTACATATTAGATCAAACTGAGTAAAAAAGTTCTTTACTATTTTATAAATGATCACATAGAATTTTAAATATTAATTAAACAAGACTTTTGTATATTATCGCGCACAATCATGTAACAACTTTCTTTCATGAATAATTAAAAATCTACATGGTTATTTACAAAATAGTAAAGGGATTTTTTGTTTAATTTGATTTAGATCTTAAAGGATAGCAACCTTTGACTTTGAGAGACTGACAGCTGTACCATTTGGTACAGTAACATTGTTTCTCTCTGTAGTCGCCGTGCGCTCGGGATCGCGCCAGAGATGTCGCTTCCGAACGGCATCTCTGAGCGTTATCTAGGAAGAGGAGTGTCGTGAGCGTAGAACGTCAGGTAGCTCAGTGGTTTAGAGCAGTCGTGCGGCAAGCGAAAGACTCGGGTTCGAGTCCCGGCCTAGTAGGACCGCGCTCTCAATATTTTTCTCTTTCTGGAACGAAAAAGATACGCAGATCTCGAACGCACGGCGTCCCGCCGCCACCAAGTATGCCCTCCTCCTTCTATGGTAAGGGATATTTTGTTTAATTTGACCTAATGTTCAAGAATACAATAGCATACATTGCTACTATAGTTCATCTACTATGTCGCGCGTAATTATTCAAATCTTCTAATCTTCTTTAATTAATATTTCGAGATTTATTACGAATTAGACTTTGTCGTATGGGACTTTTATGTTCACCTTAATTTGTTCTATACTCTCGCGAAATTTTAAAATGGTAATCTCGGACACCCTATATAATATTTTTCTTTGTTTGGATAAGATACTTCTATACATTTATAATGTTTGTCCATAAAATGTACAGTCCTTTCAGTTATGCTGCGTATAAAAGTACAGGGATAAAATATTTGAAGAGAAGAGAGTGCATATTTCTTGAAATATTTTATATTTTATCCTTTTTATCACTTATTTTTATTTTATCACTTTTTTCAGCACGTTTTAATGATTTTTTTCAGTAGTTTTTTTATATGCAAAATGACTCTTTACGAGTTAATTTGTTTAAAAAAATACATAATTCCATAAAAAAATTCGAATTGATCTTTAAAAAATTTTGGCGTATCTATCACTAGATAATATTATATATTCCCTTTGAAATCTTAAAACATTTGTCCAAAATATATTTTTGTAAAATGCTTTCTTCCCGAAATATTAGATCATTCCGAAACATTTCAAACACTATGCATATTATTGCATTATGATAACGATACAATAAATACATACAGAATATCCCAGACTCTCCTCCGCATATTTTGTAGAAATGTAGAACGGGCTGAGGTGAACATAAAAAAAGTCCTATACCGTTTTGCGATATTCGCAATAATAACCGAGAAATTAATTACGAAAGATTAAGGAAAAACGCACGCTGAATGGTCGAAGGAGGAGCGCTCGAGCCGTGCAGCGCGGACCCAGTAATATAATGCACAGATGTCGGCGCGCGGCGATTTGAAGAACAAAGCGCCACTGCCTACTTATATTGGAAGTGTGCATTAATTTTAAAGGATTTTTTGGTAAAAATACGGCTTTATTGTGAAAAAATGGTTACAAATTGATCATTCAAAATTTTGTCCAACGCTAGCACTATTTTTTCCCATCTTTCTGGTAATAGGTGGATTCCACGTCAAAAGAACGACACATTTTTTAAGGCTATCCACAAATCGACCCATTTTTCGGTATCCTCGTAAGAATGGAAGCGCTGCTCAGATAGGCCATGAGTCATCGAACGAAATAGATGATAATCGGAAGGAGCAATATCTGGGAAATACGGCGGGTGTGATAGGACATCCTAGTTAAGCGCTTCTAACATTTCTTTGACCGGTTTCGCAACATGTGGCCGAGCGTTGTCGTGCTGGAAAATTACTTTGTCGTGTCTTTTCGCGTAATCTGACCGTTTTTGCTTCAATGTTCAATTGCATTAGTTGTTGTTGGTAGCGTTTCCCAATAATGTTTTCGTTGGATTGGAGCAGCTCATGATACACTACACCCAGCTGATCCCACCAAATACAGAGCATGAGTTTGGCAACATGAATATTCGGCTTTGCCGTCGATATTAATGATTCGTCTGGCCTGCACCATGATTTTTTGCGCTTCGGGTTATCGTAGCGTATCCATTTTTCATCACCCGTCACTACGATGCAAAAAACTTTTTCTTCTGTGTCTTTAAAGCAACAATTCACAGGTTCTTTCGTACCTTTCGATGTCTCTCGGTTTCAACTTGTATGGCACCCAATTTCCTTGCTTTTGAATCATTCCAATGGCCTTCAAACGTCTGGAAATCGTTGATCAATCAACATTTAATAACTCTGCAAGTTCTTCTTGCGTTTGATTCGGGTCTTGATCGAGTAAAGCTTCCACTTCCTCATTTTCAAACTTTTTCGGTTGGCTTGGACGTTTCTTGTCTTCTGTATCAAAATCACCTTTTTTTATAGCGTTGAAACCAGTACTCACATGTTGAATTCGATGGAGTATAATCACCATAAGCTTCCGACAGCATTCGTTGACTTCAAGCAGCACTTTTCTTCAAATGGAAGCAAAAAAAGCAAAGCTTCCCACAAATTGCGTTTTGTTGGCACAAAATTCGACATATTCAATGCTCAAAAAAACAATGTTGTTTACACTTCGGTAAATACTGAGAACACATACTGAACACATACTCAAAACTAAAGCCACATGATGGTGCTTTGACATGAAGGTAGCAATAATATGGCCCGATGCGATGTAGTACTAGTTACGCCATTTCTTGAAAATCCTTTAAAATTAAAGAACACTCCCAATATTATTGTGCTACATAGATATACAGGGTGTCTCACACTCTCTTCCGGGAATTTTGTGGGAACGTAGAACAAGTTGCGATGAACATAAAAGTCCTATACCGTTTTGCGGTATTCGCAATAATTATTGAGATATTAATTGTAGAAAATTTATGAATGATCATGCAGAATATGGTAAATGAGTTATAGTGGCGACGATTGCCGTCGTGTACTTATACATTAGGCTAAATTGAACAAAAAAGTTTTTAATCATTTTCCAAATAATCACATAGATTTTTAATTATTAAAGAAGATTATTGCACGATTTTGCGTGATAATGCACTCATCTTCTTTAATTAATAATTAAAAATCTATATGATTATTTGCAAAATGGTAGAGGACTTTTTTGTTCAATTTAACCTGAAGTATAAGTATACATGACGGCAGTCGTCGCTATTATAACTCATTTACCATATCGTGCACGATCATTCACAAATTTTCTACAATTAATATCTCGATAATTATTACGAATATCGCAAAACGGTATAGGACTTTTATGTTCACCGCAACCTGTTCTACGTTTCCACAAAATGCCCGGAGGAGAGTGTGAGACATCCTGTATACTAGACTGCGCGGTCTGTGAAGAGGAATGAAACCAAGATGAAAAGACAAATATATACAGATTTACATAAAGCTTTCCCTGTCTAACACACTTATTCCACGTATATATCTGTTCTTTCATCTTGGCTTCATTCCTCTCCATAGATCATGCAGTCTAATATATGTCTATGGCGCTATTACATTTCGCTTCGACGCGGTGTGACAGTAGGCGTGGAAAGACGTAGAAGCGTAATAGTACAGGGTCCGCCATTTAAATCCGGACATGAAAATTTTTTCTCGAAAAAGTCGTTTATTACAGAAAATATAAATATATGTAAAAATACAAAGGGGTTATTTTATAGTTAAGTTAAGGGATCTTTTCTGAGTTTTTTCATTCAATGTAGCCGCCCTGCGCCTCGATCACCGCCTCGATCTTGTTCCGAAAGCGCAAGCACCCCGTTTGCAATTGCGCCCGGTCCATTTTCATGAATGCCGCTTCAATAGCGGCCTGGAGGCAAGCCACGGGCGGTCTGGCTTTGTTAGTAACCCTCTCGACTACGCCTCACACATAGTAGTCGAGAGGGTTCAAATTGGGACTATTCGGAGGCCAGAAATCTTTCGACCAAAACATCTCGACATTATTCGAGAGCCAGTTCTGCACTAAGTGACTCGTATAGTGCGCCGTCTTGTTGGAAAATGTATGGTCTTTCTGCAGCCACGGTGGTGTCGTTCACTCCCGAGACGGCCGCTAATTTTGCGAGTGAAGTCCCTGGATCTTTCAAAATGAGATCTTGTGCTTCTCGAACGAGTTCCGGAGTCCGTATCCTTCTCCCTTGTGTATTTTCTTCGCCGGAGTACAGGAGCCCACCTCGGACTTTTCCGAGACCACGTACCTCTGGAAAATGTCATACACCGTCGACCTGGGGTATCCGAAGAATTTGATTACTTTTCTTGGCGTCTTTCAGGCGTGGACACTTTCAATAACCGCCGCTTTTCGGTTATATTCCGATGTCGACCTGAACAATTCGGCCATTCGAGGTTATTAACGTCTACCCACCTCTCTGACTTACCTTAGGCCTGTTCTTTGTAGCTGCATTGCTGAAATGGTGCAATATATTGAAGTGAAACAAATATACGTTTTCTCACTTTAACTTATTGCACTAGTTCAGCAGCGCAGCTACAAAGAACAGGCCTCTTTACGCCATCTGGCACCTACTGCTGTATTCTAATATATCAAGAATGTTAAATTTAAATTTGTCCGGATTTTAGTGGTGAACCCTCTATAAGCATGGGCAATGATATGCGTTATATTATTGGGCCGCGCTAATTCGAGCGCTCCGTCTTCTACTATTTAGCACACATGCTGTTCTTTAATCTTTCGTTTTTTAATTAATTTCTTGGTTATTATTACGAATATCGCAAGACTTTTATGTTCACTTCGACCTATTTTACGTTCTCACGAGAGCTTCGCAGATTGTTCTGCAACACCCTGTATACAAGATTTTCATCAAATATAGAAATATGCAACATATTTATATTTTTCAGAGATAACGATAGATCATCGTTGAACTGTGCTTCGATGCTTAAGGGTGGCTGGTGGTGGAAGTCTTGCGGGCGTGGTTTAAACGGCCTTTATCTGAACGATCCACAAGATCTTACCGCACGACAAGGTATGTTTATAAATTTCTGAAGCAAATGTTCTGATTGAAAATTTTTATCATTATAGTTAGTTAGTGCTGGCAGTGTTGATTACTCGTGTATGCGGTTAATTTAAGATATTATCTGGTTATTATTTCGTTTATGTTGACAAAGAACGAATAAATGCAATGCTATCCTGTAACTACTTACGAAATAAAGGTGCTCTCTACATTTTTTTATATATGACATATTATAATTACTTATAGATTGTTCTATAGCATAGCTTGGCACGCGTTGCACATTTCGACTGATTTTCGACTTGTTTTGTTTAGCTTTATTCTTCTTATTTCATCATCCCGCATGCATCCTATGAGTCGCTCTAATAGTTTCTCACTATTAGAAATATATGTTTATACAAGTCGTACGTTCCTGTGTTTCAACGGCCTCTATCGTTAGCTGGATGATGAAGTAAGGGAAGTAAAACTAGACAGAACAAGTCGAAAATCGATCGATGCAATGCGTGCCAAGTTCTACTCTATCAATATTATATCAATATGTTAACTTACGAGAGTTTACGCCTCGGATGAAGAGAAAGCAACTTTATGTCTATACACTTACAAAGCAATGAGTAATTGCTACTAAAATAAATGCATATATGAAATAATTTGACATGTCTAAGTTATTGATTTTTTAATAGTTATAAATAATGAACAAACGCATTGTATATTCGTAATTATTTACTATTTAGTTGCTCGAATAGTACTCGTAAATGTGGATACTTGGGTATAAATACTTGGATTATACTAACATTACTATTGTAGTTCATAAAAGTAAATGAAAATTATAGATTTCGAACTTAATGTTTTTCTTTTATATATAAGGTGTAGTAAAAAGGAATCCATTATTTTTACATGAAATTGAAGGTTTTATTTAGCATAGTTAGAATGATCCGATTTAGGTCAAATATGCACCGTTTTGTTCGATAACTTGTTGCCATTTTGAAGGTAATTCCATTATGCCTTTCTCATAGAAACCCTTGTCCCTATTGGCAAAAAACTGGGATAGTCGATTTTCACAAGCTTCTCTTGAGGCGAATTTTTCACCAGCAAAATCATTCGCCATAGACAGGAATAGTGGCAATCACTTGGTGCCAGGTCCGGACTATAAGGTGAATGCATAAGAACCTTCCAACCAAGCTCCCGGAGCTTCTGGCGAGTCACTATCGATGTGTGTGGCCTGGCGTTGTCCTGATGGAACACAATTCCTCTCCTATTGGCAAAAGCTGGCCGCTTCTGGGCGATTGATTCCTTCAGACGGTCTAATTGTTGACAGGTCAGGTCCGAATTAAGAGGGGAGCAGCTCATAGTGGATGATTCCCTACCAATCCCACCAAACACACAGCAAAGCCTTGCTGACCGTCAATCCTGGCTTGGCCACCGTTTGCGCCGACTCACCGCGTTTCGACCACGACCGTTTTCGCTTGACGTTGTCGTAAGTGACCCACTTTTCATCACCAGTCACCATCTGCTGCAGAAATGGGTCGCTTTTGTTGCGATTCAGCAGCGATTCGTAGATGGAAATTCAGTCCATGAGGTTTTTTTGTGTTAACTCGTGTGGCACCCATACATCGAGCTTCTTTTTGTATCCAGCCTTATTCAAGTGGTTCCAAACGGTTTTTTGTGCAATGTTTAGCTCCTGGGCAATCGAAACAGTGCTACCATGACGGTCGGACTCGACGATTTCCATTATTTTATCGACATTTTCGACAATTGG